GTTCATTGTCTTCTCGACAACCCTCCCCAAGAACATCAACGGGACAGACCCAATCCAGAAGTACCTGACGCCGCAGATGGCCACCTCCATCACAGCCTCCATCATCAGCTTCATCATCATCATGATCCTGAACACGATCTACGAGAAGGTGGCCATCATGATCACCAACTTCGGTGAGGTCCTGCCTGGCTGGAATGATTTCCGAGATATTTAGAGTACCTTTAGCTATTTCTGTCCCTGTAGGTTGAAATTCTTAGGAAATTTTGAGTGTAAACGTATTTTCTCTAGCCCCCTATGGGAAGTATGTGGTGTGCATCTTTGTATCTGAAGAAGGGACACAGGGGAGACAATGGCGGGAATGTCCAGGCTCTGGAAACACACAGGGCTGAAGAATATGTTCGATGACGTTAGATCGTGTGTTCTCTTGCTGAAAGCAAACAGTCTCTTTATTGCAAACAAGTGGAAGAGGGTCACAGCTCCGGGGCAAGTGCGCGCCTCAGCCAAAGCGAGGACAAGCTGCCCTGTCGGTGCATGTCATCCCCCACGCTGTCCTTGTTAATACAGTTCTCAGCAGCTCCGCCTGATGTAATGGGTGTTGCTTCTGGCTGGCTTGCGTCCCAAGCAGCTGCTTCATGGCTAGAGTTGGGGGATTCCCACACCCCGCATGCGCCGGGTCGTTCTCACAATGACAGTCAGACTGGCTGAGATTCGTAGCTAGGAGGACAGACCTTTGTATTTCCCACATGCCTCCAGCCAATGGCTCTCCTTCCACCCATCTTACAATTTCAGGAGACAAAAGAATTGCCTCTCCTTGGCAGTTCACAGCTAATTTTCTAAGGGGTTGAGCATGTTCCTCAGTGGCAGAGGTCCTGGATTTGATCCCTAGAGCCACAACAAAAATAACTCTGGGGTTTTAGACCAAAACCGTTCTTGCCCATTTGATGATAAGGCATTTATAAATTTTAAGGAGCAGTTTAAAAGTAAATGTGCGTGCTTGGCTTGCCGTGGAGGATATTGTGTTTATATGGGAGGGGAACGCATAACAATGTGTAAACGCAGAATTAACACAGTGGCTATTTTAAGAAATGGAAAGCAGATTCAGTAGAAACAGTGTGAATTGTAATCCTTTCTGCATGTTATCTCAGGTATCAGAGTCTTTGATTAGCGTCTCAGAGCCGTTTGGGATTTCAGGGTCTTTCTTGCTCTTGTTTTAACCGCAGAACTCCCAAGGACCCAGACTGACTATGAGAACAGCCTGACCATGAAGATGTTCTTGTTCCAGTTCGTCAACTACTACTCTTCATGTTTCTACATCGCGTTCTTTAAGGGCAAATTTGTAGGCTATCCAGGGGACCCGGTGTACTGGCTGGGCAAGTACAGAAACGAAGAGGTGAGAAAACAGAATGGCGTTACCCTCTTGACAGTTGAAGCTGCTGCTGCTAGCTCTCTCGCGCCTGCCTAATGAATAGTGACTTCCTTGTGTGTTGCGGGGATATTTTTAGCCTAAGAGAACAAGTAGAGATGTTAATGTGATGCTTCTTTGCAAGTTGCACACCTGAAATCTAAATGTTGTTTTCTTTGGAACATGCCAGTGTGACCCAGGTGGCTGTCTCCTTGAACTGACGACGCAGCTGACAATCATCATGGGTGGAAAGGCAATCTGGAATAACATACAGGAAGTGCTGCTCCCGTGAGTACCAGATCTGTAGTCCTGGCTGTCAGCGTGGGGGACAGGTCAGCCCACCCACGGAAATGATTTACCCACATAGCCACACAGCTCTCTCTAAAGCAGACTAGAATCCATTGAGATTAAAGGTCTAACCAGTGGTTTATACGTGTTTAATGATGACCTACAGGGGCTCAGCAGATGGCTCAGTTGTAATGTACTTCCTGTGTGAGCATGAAGACTGGAGTTGGGGATCCCCAGTACCCATATAAAAAGCCAGGCACTGTCGTACATGCCTGTAACCTCCGCACTGGGGAGGTAGAGACAAGCGGATCCCCGGAGCTCACTGGCTGGCTGAATTGGCTAGCTCTGGGATCTGTGATAGACCATGCCTGAAAAAAGCTAGGTGAAGACTGATTGAGGAAGACACCTGATGCCAACCTGTGGATCTTACATGCTCCTGTACACATGTGTAAACACACACGCATGCACACAAGCACATAGAGTAGTGTTATAGAAGACCTTCCTCATCTTCACGTTTAACAGAAATCCCACTGGCTGTAGTTTATGCCTCTTAGGCTGTCACTGGTGGCCGACTCGGCAGAGGCCTGTGAGAAAGGGCCCTTGTTAGAGTTGTGCACTATACACGGCCGTACATCCACATAGCATCTCCCGCCCTCATGCATCAAGTCATTAGTAGCAATGTGTTACATGCCTCATGTGTACCAGTCTCTGCAGCAGGTGCTCTGTGTTTCTCATGTGCATGTTTATGTGTGCATGTATACATTGATATAGTTTAATTTCATAGATCTTGCTTGAATCTTCCTTTTGCTAATGAAGATCTGTGGCTTTAAGAGGTTAAATGGTCTACCCAAGATCACACTGGCAGTGAGAGGTTGCTGTGGGATTCAACTCCAGAATCCGGTGACTCCAGACTCAGTGTTGTCAAGAACCGACATCCCCAAGACATCAGAAACAGTTACCATGGGGGTTTTGAATGGTTTCCTTAGAGAGAGAGAGAGAGAGAGAGAGAGAGAGAGAGAGAGAGAGAGAGAGAGAGAGAGAGAGAGAGAGAGAGAGAGAGAGAGAGACAGACACCAGCAGCAGGGCACAGTTACCCTCCAGATAGTTAGCAAGGGCCCTGTTGTGGGATCTGTCGACAGCCCAGCACCATCTGCATTTCCTGCCAACAGAACACTTGATATCATAGTTTTCCATTGCAATGCAACAAATTATTATTATTATTACAAAGTCACTGGGTTAAAATAAGGTTTGAAGTAAGCTGGAGGTCAGCTGTCTAACATGGGTCTCACTGGGCTAACACCACGGTGCTGCCTAGCCAGGGCCTTTCCAGAAGTTCTCGGGTGAAACAGCCTTTGCCTTTTCTGGCCACCCAGACCCTTCACTTGGGATGCTGTCTGTCATGCCTCTGTCCCCACCCTGTGGTTCTCATCTCTCCCTACATCCAGGATGGTCTCCTGTGGCCCATGTTTCTATGAGACCTAACGTTCTTCAGATGTTCTGGAGACTGGCAGGGAGCCCCTTTGGGAGACCATTGCCCTGCCCACACGCTTGCTTTTTCAAAGGAGTTCCTGGTTTCCATCTTTGCTTCATGGAAGTTCTGATTCCCCCTTCTACCTCTTTGCATCCTCCGTGAACCCTTTTCTATTCCATGTCAACACTGATGACCGAGTGTGATGCAGAGTATCACCTCGCCTAAACGGCCTCTCGAGCCACTCACTCACGCATGGAGGTAAACTTAGAATTTACATTTCAAAATTAAAATCCTTGCTTTGTAAAGTCTTGTACCTGCTCCACAGTGGGGTAGATTGGCTTAAAACTCACCACCTGGTTTAGGCTGCAGCATCCTGCATCCTCCACTGTCCTCCCCCACCACCTACGATGTTGTCTCTCTTTCTGCCCTGAATCTGTGTCTCCTGTGTTGCCAGGTTTCTGTTCGTTCTCTCTGGAATAGTTAGCTGACTCTGGTCTCAGTGCGTCCACAGCACTGGGGCTTTTTTCTCCCTCTTCGATGGGAACTGTCACGGCCCTTCTCAGAGAGAGCAAAGACAACACTCCCATCCCAGGAAAGGATTCCAGCTTTAGCTGGGAGATAACTTTAATCCTGCTGCACAGAAAACAACCCCTTCCTTTCATCAAGTTCATAGTCTTGTTTTTCCAGATAAGTGAAAGTAGGTCATGCGCAAATCACGCTGTTTCAATATGAAAATGTGTTTTAAAATATTTTAACTCATTCTTATACTACCAAAGCAGCACTTTCTAAGCCAAGTAGATTATTTAACACAAAATTTTCTTGATAAGGAACTGCTTGACCGTGAACTATTTTCTGAGTTTTTAAAAGTTAGTGGGGAGGGTATATTTCCTAAATTAATTCTGAGAAATTTTGACTTCAAGTAAGCTTATTGTTAACAAGTACAGAGATTTCCATTCTGGCCAACGAAAATAATGTCATGTGTTTAATTCTCTTCCCCTGGCTCTAAACCTAAGAATGCCAAGTCTCAGTTGGAGCAGTGTCCTTGGGGCTGTGCTGTGTGGGGAGCAGTGCCTTAGTTCCACACAGAAACGGGTACAGTGGTGTGCCCATTACACCTCCTCCCAGAACTTCACCCCTCTGAAGAGTGTTGGAGTCAGGGAAGAGGCTTGACAGCGTTCATGTGAGGTTGCTATGTCAAAGGAATGCAGTAAAGGGTACTTGATCAGCATTTCTCAGACTTGGTCACTTCAGGTCCACACCCTTCATTCAGCTTGGATTCCTACACTGAGCTGAGCCTACACGGAGACTGATCCCAGGTACAGAGAAAACTCTGGGTGTAAGCACCTGAGGGAATAAATGATTGGTGTGTTGTTGGACCCTGAGAATGTCGGCCCTCTGGTCATCCCAGCACTGATATTCAAGGCATCCTAGGGATTTTTTTTTCTTTACAAAAGACCGTGTTAACATTAAAAAAATAATAATGAAAACCCCCGAACACTTAGAACATGAGTATCCTTAGATTTAACTAGGGGGTGGATGTGACATTTTTTTTCCTTATGTATTTTTTTATCTTGTCAAAATGACCATGCACTTACATAACCAGAGAAGGGGCTGTTGTAGGAGAAAATACCCCTCTTCAAGAGAGGCTGTGGATGAGGCCTCGATAGACACACTCACCCTTCACAAGAACATTGACATCAGGTGTGAAATAGTCAGAGTGATGTGTGCTTGGGGGGAGGGGATGTACCTAAATGGAAATGGCATCTGGCTCTAGTTTGATAAAAGGCCAAGAGAGAATGAGATACAAAATGCTATCACAACATAGTAAAAAAAATAACTGAGTAAATGGAAATTTAGTACTATGTGTTTTGTTAATGTTAGATTAACATTAACATTTTGTTAATGGTAGATTTGTACAGAAATGACTTTGTAACCTCAGCTTCTAATCTTAGCAGGGGCGTGAGAGGCTCTCTGGTGGGTTTTTGGTTTTTGGTTTGTTGTTTTTTTTTTTTTTTTTAATCTGTGGTAATTCTCGTGTAGTCAAGGTTAAGAGCTGGTAACAGAATCACAACCCAGTTTTATTTTTGCTTTTATTTTTGTTGTTGTTTGGTTTTTTTTGTTTGTTTGTTTTGGGTTTTTTTCTGTTGAAAAACTCCAAAGATTCAGGGAAATGGAGCAAGAGGCTTGGAGTCTCTAGCTCCTGAAGCCAGGCAGAGAGTCGTCTGCTGTGATCTACAGTGTGTGTGTGGGGCGGGGGGAGGGGGGGGGAGTATCTGCTGAGTGAGGTGGATTGGAATCCCCAGAAGAAAAATGCCTACTTTTTCTAGGGCACGGACAGTGTGCCGAAGCAGCTGGGGAGTGGGAGGCAGAGCAAAAAAATAAATAAATAAACAAATAAACAAATAGAGTCCAAGCCAATATTTGCCATGTCATGAAGGCTTGTGAGGTGTGGCCCTTGAATGGCTACTGCAGATTCCAGGGCGCCCTCAGATCTTTGGGTTGACATAGAAGAGGCTTCGGGGTCCACACACATTCCACACCTTGAAGTCAAGGTCCCAGTATCTTAGCTCCGTCTTCCGTGGCCTCTGCCTGTGAGCGTGTATAAGTAGGCAGGAAGTCCTGTGAGTGTGAGGAAGGGCCTGGCTCCTCTTACCCGCCTTGAATCCCATTAATCCCGGCATCAGCCCTCGCCAATGTATATCAGCACATTTTAACTTTACCAGAGAAGCTAGGAAGCAGGAGAGTGTGGGTTCAGATTCAAGGGCATCCCAGTCTGAGTTCCTCCATTTGCCTGGCCTCCTATAAAGAAGTGGGGAGAAATGGGGAATTCGGGCCTATGTTCTGTGGAAGAGCACCTGCCCTGAGTAAGCTTTACTAGAAGGTCCAGGAAGGCTGAAGAGAGGCCAGCAGCAGGGAGAAGCCCAGCCTAGCGAGTCAACTCGGTCAGCCTCGAATCTTAAGCGCCTGGTGCCCTCGAGGAACAGGTGAGGGCCTGAACCATTTTCTTGTAGCAGTTGTCTCCACAGCCCCGTAATGAGTCCTCAGTGTCAGAATTCCAAACCCACACGAACCTGCTGTCTAAGCACCCAAAGTGTGGGAGACGTGCTGTGGGTGTGCTGAAGCCAGCTGTTACTTGAGGGGGCGGAGGTTCTATGTCACAGGTGCATGGAGAGACAATTCTGTTGCCGTCTCGGGTCCCTCTTCCAGGCCGAGTGCCCTGGGAAGGGTGGGAAGCATTTATCAGGGACACGAGAAGCATGATGTTCAAGAAGAGAAAACAGACAGCTGGATGGGAGCAGCATGCGGTGGTGTGCAGGGCTGACTCTGTCCCATCTAAAGGACATACGTGTCTTCTCATGTCCTGCAGTTGTTCGGTTCATGGCAGAGTCTGAGACCTGGTTTGACATTGTTGTGCTTAGCTTTTCTGCAGTAGCCCCCCACTTCCCTAGGAATACCCCAACCTTCACTCTTAGATCCCACTCCCCACCCCCATGCTCTACCTAGCCTTGCTTCCTCCTTCCGGGGAACCCCGGAGCGTCTGTGTCGTGCTGTCTAAGGCAGGTCTGCTCCTGCCTCAGGCTGTCTGTGGCCACTAGTCCCCAGCCTGGAGGTTCCAGCTCTGCTGCTCAGGTCCCCTGCCCCCGTCACAGCCCCACACTTAATGCCACAAGGTGAGCATCCTCGGTTCCCCCTGCACGCCGTTACAGACAGAACTTGTCTGCAGCAGGTACCGCCAGCTTGCATCACCGTCTTCGTTTTGCTTATTTTCACCCTGAAAAAAAAAAATGTTTTTAATGATTAGAGGGGGAAAAAATGGAAAACTGAAGATATTTTTAATCATTTTTTTTTTTATGTGCACTGGTGTTTTGCCTGCATGTACGTCTGTGTCAGATCTTGGAGTTACAGACAGTTGTGAGCTGCCATGTGGGTGCTGGGAATTGAACCCTGGGTCCTCTGGAAGAATAGTCAGTGCTCTTAACTGCTGAGCCATCAAACTGAAGATATTTAGCGTGCAAAGGAGAAGCTAATTTCTTGGGAGGACTACCTATTCAGCTTTGAGACAGCAAAGAAATTCTTCATGATGTGGGTCTGACAATATTCATTCTAATTTATAATTTGATTTTTTTTTTCCCCTGGCAGATGGGTCATGAATCTGATTGGACGATATAAAAGAGTTTCGGGATCAGAGAAGATAACTCCACGATGGGAACAGGATTACCATCTGCAGCCCATGGGCAGGCTGGGGTTGTTCTATGAGTATCTTGAAATGAGTAAGTATTCAGTAAAATATGCTGGGGTATGTGTTGGAGCTGAAGGAATCTGTGGTTGAGCTACAAAATTATTTAGCGCATTGATATGAATAGTTTTTTTTTTCTCCACTGGGTACAAGTATAGAGTGGAGAAAAATCAAAGGTTTCAAATATGATGGCTGTGTGTGGTTTTGTTAGTACTTATTGTTGTTCAAAGCTAAGGATTTATTACCATGCATTGAAATGGAATTTTCCATGAGGTCTTCACTGTAAGTTCGCAAAGCATGCTGACCATGTTGTCTGTGAATGAACCCCAATCACTGTCACTAGGTACGATTCATTCAGCTTATGCTAGCATCCATGCAGTTATTGGCCAGAACAGAATCACTGAGCAAACCTGTGAGAACACAGTTCCTCATGGCAGGAAGGGTCCCTGGCTCCCTTTCATACCTCACTCCTGCTTTAGATGGCCTCTTGTTTCTTCTGGGCAGGGTTTGCATGTGGTGCCTTGAATGACCCTCTGGGTGAGGAGCCATTCTGCTGGCCTGGAGTTAGTCAGGACTTGGCACAGGGCCTGCCCCACCTCCGTGGGTGTCTTGTCTGTTTGTGAACTACCTGCACAGGCTCTCCCTCTTCATCAGATGAACATGGTTTTGAACTCTGTTGCCTTAAATCGATGCATCTCAGAACAGATTTTCATCAGGAACACTAACCTTTCTATTGTGAATGACATACTTAGTTCTAAAAGATGGCTGACCATTTACATATTTTGTATCTCTGCCCTTTGACCTAACCTTTACGACGAATCACAATTTTTTAAGCTTGGGAGAACAGAAAAACAGGCACAAAATCTGATAGGCTTCGTGTTTGTGCAAAGGGGTTAGTGTCTCTGCCAGGACACTACTTCCTGCAAACAGTTGGTAGGTTATTAAATCATATTCTGTGTATAAAATATCTTTTTAGAAAGTATGCATAATACATAGAAATAGTTGTCTGGGTGAGGAAAACAGTCCACTTTGTGTGTATCAGCCTGGGGTCAGATTTGAAATTCGTTTTTGTTTTTTATCAAGATTGGTTTTTATTAAGGGCGCAGCATCAGTACGGAATGGATTGTGAGACAATTACTATGTCTTACTAGCGCTGTGATCAGCATTAATAGTAGCTCCCTGGCATAGGACGTTACTTATTGGAGCCTCTCCCCAGCACGAAGACTTGCACAGAGGAAGTTATTCCCCCCACATACACCAACTGATTAGTTAAGTGAATGACATTAAGGAGAAAAGTTACATAGCCATGCTTTGGGGAGATGGTGAACAGACTTTTTGGGTTTCATGGGCCTGTTAAATAGTTATGAACTAATTAATTTGGTCTCATCCTATTCTACTATATGTGTACATATATTCTATCATAACAGCTGCTATAGACAGACTTTGAGGTTTCTGACAATGCTTTATAGCCATCCCAACAATTCCCAATGACTTGGAGAGCTTCCTCAGTTTCAGAGCATAGACAATATGTTACTTTGTATTTGGTAACACAGTGAAATCTGTGTTTAGTCCTTCTAGGCTGTGAGAGATATAATTTTCAGTGCCCTTTGAATTCTTGGTTCATTTCTCTAAACATAAATATTGTCTCTGGGAGTAATGTCACTCCGAGGTGACCTTCACAGTGCTCTCCCACATCCATCAATGTCAGCTCCCCACAGGTGGTCGGTGCCTCCCACCAACCACAGCTCTTTCCCTTTCTTCCCTGTCTGACTGGCTCTTACTGGCCCTCGGCAAAGCCACTCTGCTTTGCTGCTCTTGTAGGGCCGAGCAGCCCTGGCTCCCATAATCCTGTGCATGTATGAATGCCCCTCCCCCTACTAGACTCAGCTACCAAGCCCTTAGCACCAGTACTTGGAGCCTAGTACTCACAGATATTTGTTGACTTTGGAGCAGGTCTGCACCTGCTAGTCAATCTCACATCTGCATTGCCCCGCCTACTCCCAGTGCCCACTGAGGCTGTGTGCTGTGCCCTAGAATTTCTGTTCTTGCTGTTACTGCTGCCAGCAAATGTTTTTTTTTTTTTTTTTTTTTTTTTTTTTTATTTAGTACATTTCCCCATGATTTGAGATTGAATCATTCGGAGGTATTAGCCAAAGGCAAAATGTTAGGTCCTCAACTCTGAGGACTTACGGTGCCGAACATAAGAGAAGAACAGCAGCCAGGCAGCGGTGGTGCACGCCTTTAATCCCAGCACTCGGGAGGCAGAGCCAGGTGGATCTCTCTGAGTTCAAGGCCAGCCTGGTCTGCAGAGCAAGATCCAGGACAGGCACCAAAACTACACCGAGAAACCTTGTCTGGAGAGAAAAAAAAAAAAAGAGGAGAGAGAAGAGCAGCAATTGATACTAGAGCTGGAAGCGGAAGATGCAGTTTTGTACCTGGGTTCTACCTGTCCTAGACACAGGTGTCTTTGGTGACAGCTTCATGGTTGGCCGATGGCACAGTGAAGGGCAACAGAGTGAGGCCGTGAGCCCCCCTGTGTCTCTGGACTGCCTTTGCCTTGTTCAGCCCATCTCCAAGCTCAGTTTCCAGTCATGGGAATAATGGCTATTTTCATTCCTTTCCTATTGCCGAGTTAAAATAGCCTGAGAGAAGCCATTTAAGGGAAAAAGGGTTCATTATAGCCCCAGGTTCAACATCCATCCCCTCACAATGGGGAGGTCCAGGCAGCCAGAGCCTGAAGCAACTGGTCACATCACATCCGCAGAAATAGAAGGATGTATGCATGCTAATGTTTACCTTGCTTTTGACATTGCCCACATTGGCCCAGGAGTCCCCGCCCACAGAATAGCCACCCCACAGTCAAAGAGTCTTCCTCCATCAATAAATGTAATCAAGATTCTCCTGACAGGCGTGCCCAGAGGCATCTCACAGGAGATTCTAGGTCCCGTCAAGGTGACAGCAAGACACATCACAGTGATCCCCATCTATTCTTCTCTGCATTTGCTTACTGCTGTGAATGTCTCGGCTCCTCAGCATCCCCTCGGCTCACCCCTTTTCTCCCTGTACCACACCTCCCAAATGTGCTGCACTCTCTAGACTTCGGGCCTGCCTTCCAATTCTTTGCTTCTTGTGCCCCTATCTACAACCTGCAGAGAAGACTTCTAGTCTTTAAAGGAATGGCTTTCTAGCATGGCAGATGAGGAAGTCCTGTCTCTTCCTGCAGTGCCCAGGGGTGGGTGTACCACTGTGCCAAGCACTGTATTATTTGTCAGAGATACCAAGCTAAGACTTGGTGCATGTTCTCATGGAGCTTGACACACAGTGGTTTACTTTAGAAAAGCCAAAGAAGACTTGGTCAAGCAGGTGGTGTTTGAATCTGATTTTTGAAAAGAGAATGGTAGTATCAAAAGAATGGGGAAGGAAATGGACGGTACACGACGAATAGTAGAGAACCGGGCATGTTTTACAATACAGAGTCACCCCTGTGACTGCTTCAGAGTTCTGTAGACAAAGCATGGCTGAAGCGGAGGCTCAGTGGTGAGAACATTAAGTAAACTACAGACGTACGTGGTGGCCTCTGTGTGTATGGCAGGGGCTTGGGATTCATAAGAAAGAATGGGGGATTGTGGGAATATTGGTAAGCAAGAGAATTATGTAGTGTTTTTGTTGACAGTCAGATTATTCCAGAAGCAGAGTGGAAGCTATTTGGGATGGGGTCTCTATTTGGTGAGAAGACAATAATTACGAGGTTACAACAATTAACTCTTTGTTTGTTTTATTTTTTGAGATAGAGTTTCTCTGTGTAACAGCCCCAGCTGTCCTGGAAATATCTCTATAGACCGGGCTGGCCTCGAACTCACAGAAATCCGCCTGCCTCTGCCTCCCGAGTGCTGGGACTAAAGGCGTGCGCCACCACACCCATCATCAGCAGTTAGTTCATTTAAGTGATGAGTGCCTTAACAGAGGTTGTGGGAATATTCATGGGAATAGAAGAGGGGGGACTGGTTTGATGACCATTGAAGGGGTGACTCAGATGGCAGATGAGGAAGAGAATTTCTAAGATAACTTCCAGGAGATGGAATATGCAGGAGGGGAGCTGGTGTAGAGATGGCTCTGGGGTCTGTAGGACATCAGGATGGCAATGTTACTGGGAAAAGTGGGTGCACAGATCAGGCACTGAGGAGCTGTAGGTGAGGCCATGTGGGTGGGTCAGGCATGCCTAGCTGGAGTCATGAGAGACTGCCAGAGTGCTGAGGAGGCCAGGAGAGAGGAGCAAGGAGCAAAGCAGGGGGAGGACTCCAACAGGGTTATTTCTGCAGAGAAGGCTTTTGAGGGTGACATCATCGCTCAGGAGGGATTGGACCATGGCAGAAAGGCGCATAAGACAGGAGGAAAAGTCAGCGCTAAAACATTGTTAGTTGCTACAACTGGGAAAGCGGTTGAAGCCCTGTGGGTAATTGTGTTTTAGAGGCTCTTAGTTAATATATAACTTGGCTTTTTAAATTAAGCGGAACAAGTCAAGAAAAACCATCCCATGGAGAGGGAGATGCTTGGCCCTGTCAAAAACGATCTGTCTTTAGCGGGGTCAAGAATCTCCCGGGCTTTGGAATGTGCAGCCACTTTCAGGGAGGCACGAGTAGCTTCCATGCAGGGGTGAGGGCTTGTGGGACGGTGGGATGTAGGGCTTAGAGGATGGCTGAGTGGAGGAAGTCTCTCAAGGCTCGGCACTCTGTTTGCTGACTGCCAGCACACTCCCGACATTCTCCGTCATCCTCTTCATAGCCACACATTTCGGTTTCTCTTTGATTGCTAGATACTTCCACTCTGCTCTTTAGATTCCCAAGCCATGAATCTGCTTCTAACATTATCTTAACAGGAAAAGGGAACATATTACCAGGAAGTCACTGTGGTGGAGTCAATGAGTTTTCAATCTGTTGTTTCTTTTGAGTGAATATATGTGAAGGAAATAAGCCATGTTCAGTCTCCTTTCTTTAGATTTCATATTTGTGTTTTGTTTACATTGTCTTGCTGTGAGCGCTGAGTTGTGACTGACTGTGAATGTGTCTCCTCCCTTGGGTGGGTTCTTTGTTTGCCTTTCTCTTTCTTTACAAGAATAAAGGAAAAATACGTTGTCCTGCCGTCTGTCCTCCCCTCCATGACATGTGTCCATTCCGTTGACAGTTATTCAGTTTGGGTTCGTCACCTTATTTGTGGCCTCTTTTCCACTGGCTCCCCTGCTGGCTCTGGTGAACAATATATTGGAAATAAGAGTGGACGCGTGGAAGCTGACGACTCAGTATAGACGCATGGTGCCAGAAAAAGCCCGGGATATCGGCGCGTGGCAGCCCATCATGCAAGGAATAGCCATCTTGGCTGTGGTGACCAATGTGAGTAGGCCTGGGATTCATAGTCTACACCTCCCACTATTATTTTTATTTGGTATGTGTGTTTTGCCTGCATGTATGTGGACCACATGTGTGTTTGGTGCCTAGTGAGGACAGACAAGGGATTAGAACCCCCTGGCACTGAAATTTCAGATCGTTGTGAACCACCATATGGGTGCCGGGAACAGAACCCAGGTCTTCTACAAGAGCAGCAAGTGTTCTTCACCACTGAGCTGCTTCTCTGGCCCCCAGTATGGCTTTTAGTTGCTCTGCAACTATCTTTTTACAACACATTTTAATTGCTTATAATTATTATTGACTCACCACATCAGGACATCCTCCACGGGTAGTATCGCTGCTTCTCTGCTGACGTCTTTACCAAAAGAAACAGAGTAATAAGTACTGACACCTTTGACTCATATATGACATAAGAAAGCATCACCAAAGGGTGCTTTTAAACACAGACAGATATGGGTTTATTTAGAGTCAGAACACATTAAAAGAATCCCACCATATATCACTATATATTCTAAAATCACATCTTTAAAACATTAACTGTGATGAAGGAGAAATTGGCCATCCTAACTGGGTATTGGTTACCTTCTTGTTTCCAGGGAAATGGCTCTTACGGGGAGGTGGGACAGTCCCTACGTCATGGCTGCAGCAGCTTCATGACTACATGTGTCCCAGCTGTGAGAGCACAGCTGGATTGTACGGCCTGTACAGGTTGCTTCTTTGGGCACAGGCCGAGAGGCAGTTTTCAGGCAAAGCAGTTTAATGGCAGCCTATCCAAGGATCTCTTGCCTCCCCTTGTCTTCCAAACCAGGATTATTTCTACCCATATTTCACTACCAGTCTCACCAGGCCAGCTTCCCGGACAAAATGATTTTTTAAAAAAATTTTAGCTTCTTAAAGCACAGTTTCTGGGTCCCCCATGAACTCCTGGGAAAGCAGAAGAGAGAGCGAGAGGCCATGTCTGTCACAGGCTCTGGAGGAGGGAAGTGGGCTGAGGAGTCAGGCCGCTCTGAGTTCCACTTCCCACACCACGGCTTGAGCTGTGGGACCCCGGCCCTGTGCACACACTTCAGAACCCCATTTTGTATTTGGTAGATGAGGGATTCTGTCTCAGCGTGGTTTGGGAAGTCGGTGAGTTCCAGCAGACACATGGATCCCTCCCGGTCCTCCTTCACATGGTTGCTACTGTTTAACTTCATTACCTGACATCATTAACTGTGGCTCCCTGAGGACTCTGACAGGCACTGACAGGCACCTCAAAGCCAGTCATCGCACCCCCCCACCCCTGACTGGTTACAATGAAACAAGTTATGTGGGACACAGCTGTCACCCCCACCCCCACCAGTTTTCTGAATGGCAGGCTACCTCTAGCTTTGAGGAGCTGATGGATTAAATCAGTTTCTTTCACCCCAGTGGCCCCTACCTTCAATGACCACTGTGTTTCAAAACGAAGACTCACGTTTAGAACCGTGACAGCCAGGCCTTTCGAGTGCTACCGTCACGAAAGCACGAATCTGTCACATACAGGAGGCTACAGTACGTTAGGCAGGGCAGGAACGTGGATCCGGGAGCTTTAGGAAGACTTTGGGCAGGAAGGTTTGAAACTGGAGGGCTTTTTGTTTGACCTTCAGAAACAAACAACAAACAAGAAAATTGATCTGGTTCAAATTCCCAATTCCTCAGGCATTCTGGAGTGATTGTGTTAAACACCGTTTCCCTAGATCCGTGCCGTGGCTCTTCTCCACGAGCACAGATGGAGGATTGGCTAGGTTTCCAAAGCAGTGTGAGAGTGTGTGTGTGTGTGTGTGTGTGTGTGTGTGTGTGTGTGTGTGTTCACACACACGGGGGCACACCCCCCCACACCCACTGGCTAACTGGGACTACTGATTATTTTTTTCTCTAATATACCTTAACAAAGCCCCTTACTGATTACACTGTGTCACTGATTACACTGTGGACCATCCTTCAGTCCGTACAATTAGCATTTGTTATACTTATAAAATGCACTGTACACATGCATACAGGTAACCATGAGACACTATCTGTCACCACACACATATATAACCCTCCCCCTGGAACCCCCCACATGATGTCCACAACCCAACGTGTACAAAAGAGGGAAGAGAGGCCACCAAGGTAGGAGACGCCAGGCAGGCGTGTGCTGGGAAGTCATTTGGGTTAAGGCTGCTGGTTCCATAAATAAGCGCAGCTGACATTGTTGTGCCTTGCCAGAGCATCTGCTATTGAAGAGCAATTTTAATTTATTTTGATATAAATGGAACTTGTGTGTAGAACAGCATGGGAAATGAGGCAAGCTACATTATGTGTATTCTTGCAGTGTATCTCGGAGCCACTCAATTCAGGGGGGGAAAGATACCTTGTCAGGAAACGAGAGACTTATCTTCCTTGTTGGGATTTTTGTACTTTCCTGAAGCACGTCTTCAGGTGATTCTGTAAAAAGATAGCATTTAGCTAAATAATAACAGGAAAACTTCATCTACTGAAATCTGGCAAACACCAAATCTTCTTGTCTTACCTCACTGCTGACAGGCAGACACACATGCATGCATACATACATACACACACACCTCACTGCTAAATGCAGCAGGCATACATGCATGCATGCACACATACACATACCTCACTGCTGACAGTCACACATACATGCATGCATGCATACATATACACATATACACATACCTCACTGCTGATAGACAGGCACACATGTGTGCATGCTTGCATACATACATGCATACATATACACACACACATACCTCACTGCTGACACGCAGGCACACATGTGTGCATGCACAGGCACACACACACACGCACACACACACACACTCACACTCAGATTCTTCACATTGCAGAAAGCAAGGTAACTAGCTTTAGTGGGGGGTAGGGAGGCTTAATTGTTTTCTTGCTTTGCCCGAATCTTGTTTGTTGGTTTGTGGTCTCACTGTAACTAAACCATGTGTCCAGATGAATACTATTAAAAGTCACTTGGTGCCAAAAACATGTCTGGTCTTGTGCTTCAGTTGGTGAAGCCTAAAGTACATACCCTTTGTCCTTCCTGCAAACCAATTTCATATACCAGAGTTAAAAGCCCAAATTAAAGATCTTTGGGGAAGGTCTGTGGGGTTCTAAATAGGCTTTCATCCTAGGACACTTCTGCCTGGCACAGACATGGACTCATCATTGACCTGTCTCTTCCTTCTATGCAGGAACATACGAAACTGTGTTATGTGATAATTTATGATTTTAGAACTTTATCCAGTTAATCTTTTGGAAGTTTGGATGCTCAGATACTAGATGTCATAAGGTAGCCTTGTTTTCTGACTGGGTGACCAAAACAAACCCAATATTGTTTATCAGGCCATGGATTGTCTAAGTAAGCCTAAAATACCATGGGGGTAAGGAGCGTGAGTCCAGTGGCTGTATATAACTATACATCAAGAGAGATGTATTTTATTCAGTTTTCATTCTTCTTTGTGAGAGACAAGTGATTTTTATGAAAAAAAATCAGCTTTGTATAAATTCTTTATCACACAAATGAGTCCTATGAAGCAAGATTATCTTCCTAATAGTGACCTCAGTGTTATATTGCAAGAGCGTTCTAAATCTAAACCACAGTAGACTCTCGTTTCTCTCGAGTAGAGCTCTGAGGCTAACTAGCTATTACAACTTGGAGTAGCACCGATTTACACACAAGTTATTGCAAGTCAGTCCTGCTCTTCATGGTGCCTCAGTACAGTTATTCTCCACAAATGGCGTTTAAAGAATTTCAGAAGCTCAGCGAGCAACTATCGGGCCTTTCCCCCATACCTGCCCTTAGAATGGAAGACCTCCCAAAGCGTCCTCTGCTTACAGGTGCATACCTGACACTTAGAAAGGAAATCGGTAAAAACAATGATTCTGTTACGCCATGAGCCACAGTGACCATTCTAATGACCATCTAGCGACCATTCTAATATTCCTTTTCTCATTTCCTCCACCGTAGGCCATGATCATTGCTTTCACGTCAGACATGATCCCCCGGCTGGTATACTATTGGTCCTTCTCCATCCCTCCCTACGGGGAGCACACTTACTACACCATGGACGGCTACATCAACAATACTCTCTCCGTCTTCAACATCACCGACTTCAAAAACGCAGACAAGGAAAACCCATACATTGGGCTTGGAAACTATACCCTGTGCAGGCAAGTTTTGATTCACCTGTTTAAAAATGGATTTCGTCTTATGAAAAGCCTTTTTGGCATGTGTGATAAGGTTCTATCTGGTGTGATTTAAGTCTGTGTTAAGAGACAGTTTTCATGTGGCTTTCTTTTTAATAATACTCAAGAAAAAAAAAAGCTAATGAAGACCAAGGGTAGTACTTTTAAGCCAAATTTGAAACGTGTTCAAATGGATACATCATAACTGATGGAGGAGAAAAGCCTTGTAATTCTTAGAAATGGAGATAGCTGAGAGTTTTACACATTCATATCATTCAGTTCTTAAAACTGTCTTGTGAGGCTGGGGAATGTAGCTCAATTGGTAGTTCTTGCCTAGCTTACACAAAGCAGGGAAACCGGGAATGTGGTGCATGCCCGTAACCCCAGCACTGAGGAGGGACATGCAGGTGAATTGCTTCTAGTGGAGGCAAGCTTGGGATACATAGTGAGTTCAAGACCAACCTAGGATATATGGCAAAACTATTTCAGTAAAATCAAAGTAAGAAAGAGGCACACAGGCTCGCGGTTGGAGCGCTTGCCTCCCGTGGGCATGGCCCCAGGTTCTGTTCCCAGCAGCGCAAGGAAAGAGAAGTAAGACAGCTCAAGGATGACACGCTGGCACCTCCCTCAGCAAAGACAGAAAGATGGGTGCAATGAGGTGTCTCCTGTGCCCTGTGCTGGGGGCTGGGAAGTCAACATGGGTAGTGCAGCCTAGCTCACTTACCAGTGGGTAGTTTGTTGAACATGTAGGTCATGCAAATTTATTTTCTCTATTATGGATTCTTAAACCCAAATTCATTTAATTCAACTGTTCAAAGCCATGCTGGTTCAGATTCTCAATAACACAACCTAGAAGTCAGACAGAGCCAAAAACAACTGTTCCAAGTGGTCTGCTTGTTCGGACTGTACATATTCTGATCTCAGTAACTGCATTCTTGTCGTCTAACAGTGTATAGCCAGGAAACTAGACGTGGGCAGCCTGATGAAGACAACAGAGTTAGGCGAAAGGCTTAACCAGCAGGCAGTACCGGGCGCTATGGCCCAGTCGGCCTGATGATCCCTATGGAAATGTACAGATCTGATGCCCCAAGATAGCTAAAGTGTTTTATGTCTTTTCAGAAATCAGGGATAAAGCCTTGTGGAAAATATGTAAATACTTGTCAGTTTATAAAGATGCGCCTTATTTTACATAGCTAGAATCCATCATTTTCTGATTGCAAGCTTAGTAAGTGACGGCTGGATAATTTTCTTCTAATGTTTGATGTCAAACTGAACTTTAAGTGAAATGTAGTAAAAGTCTTTGCATCAGAGAAAACTCTGGTTTTAAAATTTGGCCCTGGTTTACAATATTAATTAATTAATCAAAATTAATTATTAATTAATTAATCAAAAAGATTTTCTCCTGATATTCCTGGATGTGTTTTCAGGTACCGTGACTTCCGAAACCCACCTGGGCACCCACAAGAGTATAAACACAACATCTACTATTGGCATGTGATTGCCGCCAAGCTGGCTTTTATCATTGTCATGGAGGTGAGAGAACCGTGCTCTGAGATGGTCTACAGTCCTGCCTGTGCATAGGCTATCTATGTCCTTAAGTATTGCCAACTCTACAAACTATATAATCCTTCCTTCTTACTGCTTGCTAAAGATTGTTTCAGGACACCATCGAATCAGCATTGGCCTGAGACTAGACCTTCCATAACTCTGTGAATGAAATGGCTGTCCACTTTCAATGTTAAAAAGCGTGCCATGTCGAGGGAGATGCAGTTCCACTTAATACAGTATTAACTGGGTGTCTTGTGCACTTTGGGGCGTTGAACAGTGTGTTGGATTGCGAAAGGCCTCTGCCCATGGAGCTATGATACATCTGTGTTATCATGATGTGCTACATGTAGCACATCAGCTCCTAGTGCTCTCTCTCTCTCTCTCTCTCTCTCATTAGTACTGAGAAAACGACACAGCTGTAGACTGTCACTTGAGCTAGCCAATGTCTTTCTCAGAGTGGATTAACTGGTAACAAATGACAGCCTCAACATCTGTTGTGCAAAGAAAGAAATCAGCCCTTGCCTGTGTAAGCCACTCTAGGTAAGTGTTTTGTCATGTGCAAACACCAATGCAACAAATGCCGAGGCTTTGCAATCTGATTTAAAAAGAAAAGAAAAAGAAAAGAAAACCACTGAAGACTAAGAAAACGGGTGATGGAGGAGAGGAACACTTTCCGTAACAGACAAAAGGTGTCGGACATGGAGCGGAAAGTACAACATGGGTCATAAAGGAAGATGCAACCCGCCCAAGATGGGAGCCAGAGAAAAGAGGCAGGCAGCTGACAAAGAGCAGGAGGATTAGAATGGGGGAGGATTCTCCGCAGCGACCGCAGAGCTGGAGACAACGACTTCAGAGTGCTGACCTAGAAGTGCATTGAGAGGGAAAAATTGCAATTTCTCCACAGTTCAACACTGCTGAGCCACTACAGAGAGTGATAGCAGACTCTCAGAGAACACAGAGGAGGAACCCTACCCTGGCTCCCGTGAGGCTAGAAAGAACCTACATCAGAGGTTCTCAGCCTGTGGGTCGCGACCATCGGAAATGCGTGTTTTCTGATGGTCTTAGGAACTGAGACACCGCTCCGGAGCAAAATTACAGTTATGAAGTAGCAATGAAAATAAATTTATAGTTGGGGGCTCCTAAACCCCTCGGAAATATGTGTTTTCCAATGACCGTGACCCACAGGTCGAGAACCACTAACCTAGATCCTAGACACAGACAAGCCTTGGCACAAGAGGGGATCTGGTGGACACAGCGGCGTGTTTTTATCCCAGTGCCGGGGAGGCAGAGGTGCCTGACCCCTGTGCAGCCCTGTCTCAAACAAAACAAAAATCCTCAACTCTAAAGAGAAAAGGAAGAACCATCAGGCCCTTCTCGCAGGCTCATAAATACAGATGTCCTCGTGGAATGTGTAGGCTGAACCTGCAGGAGAATTTTTAAAAGACAGCATCGTGCCATACTGGTTTAAACCAGGAAATGACCCCCGCCACCTGTGAACGTTAGCAACCTCTGCGCAGATGAAGTTGGAGAAGCTGAATCTTGTCCTTCCTCTCTTGTGCCCCTTTCGTCATACCTGGTGGCCGCAGCATCCACTCTGGGTCCCCAAGGGCATGGCGGTGTTGGCGTCCCATTCCCCTTCCTCTCCTCTCTGTCCACTGTAACCATTCCTTCACTGCCTAAGTCACTGACCACCAC